TTTTAATTTGAGCATTCAACTTTATTAATTGGCGCTTCGCGTAACAAATTAAAAAATTATTATAAAAAAATTAATCTCATTAATTTCTAACGAAATTGAAAGTAAAAAAAAAAAAAAAAATTGTTTAAAAAAAATAAAATATTTATTTAAAACATTTTATAAAATCGTAGTTTAATCAAAAAAATTAATCGTATGAACATTACAAAATGCTTTAAAACTTTCATTAAATCAACAAAATACATGCTTATATAAGTAAATAAAGTTATTTTATATTCTTGTGTAATTCACATAAAATGTGTAAAAGTTAGTAGTCACAAAAGCTTTTGAACTTATTCACAAATTAAAGTAACATAAAAAAATTCTTTCTAAAAATAATGGTTTAAAAATGTTTTAGGAAGACATAAGAAAATAGTTTCAAACGTTTAAATTTATCATAAAAAATAAATGCCTACATAAAAAAAACTTTACACAAGGGTTTATGTAAACAATAACTATAATTAATTTTATGGTTTTATTTAAAGCCTTTGCGTAAAATAAAAAACTTTAGAAAAGATCAACGATTAAAAGATATTTATCACTTACAATTTTTTTATTGCATTCAAATTGTTAAAACATCAAAATAGCCGTGGTCAAGTTGTAAATAAATAAAAATATTAGCGGGGTCAATTACAGAGTGCGATCGCACACCATTCCTGTCCAAGCTTGTAATAGCTTGATTTCTGTATTCAGACAATTGGCGTAGCAAACGAAGATCATTGGCAGGCACTGTAACTGCACAAGGAGACTGGAACCATTCTTCAATGTAAACCTCACATATAAACAAGAGAAACTGGAAAATTTCCTTTTCTTTAACAGCTTTCAGTTTGAATTGAGACCTGAACATCCACATTTTGAATGAATGAATGATTCTAGCCATCCAGCATGCCTGGTGCAAAGCTCCAGGTGCTGTGAAATGAACACCACGCCATGGAGCTCCACCTAGAAAGATGATTGCTAGTCCCAAGAGTTCCCTGTAATCATCTCGAGGTTGATAGATTTCAATATTTGTCTCAGCAAAATGAATTATACGAGCTTTGAAATCAGCAACCTCTGCCGCATTTGCTGCTGTCTGGAAGTTGCTCTGGTCAATCCAATTACCTTATTTTAAGACTTTTTTTTGGTATCATACATCACTTTTAAAGCAAAATATATTATTGCATTTTATGTCTTTTCTTAATACAACTTTTTGTGTGAAGCTTATTTAAATGCTGAGTTGGCATAAAACTTATCACTAACTTATTTATGACAAAACTATGCCTTAATTTGAAGTAGTAGAAAGTTATTTTCAAAATATTTATGAGATCAATAATAAAATTATTAAACTAATTTTATTAATAAGCTACTTTTTTTGTGCTTTAAAATAATCTAATTTAAATAAAAAATGACAAGTAGCTGATAGATTCAAGAAACTTCATTCAAATCATTTATCATAATCTGGCTTTGTAAGTTTTGTAAGTTTCGAGAATTACTTCTGTTCCCTTATCAAACTGTGTTTTCAGTTGTTCGTACTCCTTCAACAGTTGAGATACAAATGGATATTTGATGTTTGTGTTTTACCAAGTTCTTCATCCATCACCAAACGGAGGATTTTATCTAACACATGGTGTTGACAACTGATAAACAGAGGTTTGTTGATGCGTTTCTCTGTGAACATTTATTGCAATATTACAACAACATCATTCTTTTTTCCAGTGTTAACGCTGGTGGTATCTGCATCAATCATCTGTATTGAATTTGAAGCTTAGTTAAAAATTTACCAGCAACCGAAAAAGTTCTTTTGCTGGATGTTGACTATTTGTTTGCTGGATATTGACGTGAATTGTTTTGCTGGATGTTGACGTGGATTGTTTTGCTGGATGTTGACGTGGTTTTGAGAGTAGCATCAATCTTATTTAAATTGTTCGAACTTCACTTACTTCAAACAGCACAAACTCCCATAATATCTCTCAAAATGGATCAGAAGAACTAATCTTGGGTTGAAACTATCCTTGCCTGGAAATTGTTGTAAACTGTGTCTTAAGGTTATTATTGACTTCTTCATTCAATGATTCAACTCTACGCTTAAATTAGATGTTTGTTCAAAAAGATTTTTGAACAAAAACATGTGAACACCTTTACTGGTCAGAATAGTTGAATTATCCTTACATAGCTCCTTAACAGCCAAATGGTTTTAACACTTTTAAAATATCTTCTAAAACTTTAAAATTGACTTCTTCATAAAAACTATTTGTTCCAATGCCCAAAACTGCTTTTTGAATGCATGGTTTCATTTTTACTAACCTTTCAATCATGGGAACCAAAGAGCTTTTCTACTCAAACTATCAGTCCATATTTTTGCATTACTGAAGCACCATTGCGAGTAGACACAATTATGTATGAAAAGCCAAATTCTCTTAATTTTTGTTTAACTAATTTGGTAGTAAAAACATCACAGGAATCATCAATTTTAACATAAGCCAATTTAAGAAACTTTTTGTGAAGAGCTACAACTATAAACCTTTTAATGAAGATGTCAGTCCATTCATCAAGTTTTATGCTGAACCTTTCACCACAATTTTTCAAAAATTTGGTTTGACTTTTTGGCATTTGGAAACCACGTTTCTGAATAAACTCAAATATTGCATCAGACTTTGTAATTGTTCTCAAAGACATGCCATCCTTTGCCGCACATTTTGCTCGCAATTCACCCATGATTTCACGTTTAAAGGATCTGTCTACTTTTATTTGTTTTTTCGGAACTTCTGCAATGTTTCGAAACTTCAGATGTTTCATCCAACTTCTTATCTTTTAATATTATGCTATGTTCTCATGTGGGTAATCAGACTAGATGTGCTCAAACCTTTGCTTTTTATGAAAGAACTAAACAGGGTACATTTTGCTTCACTAGCTGAATCCGATGATTTTGTGAAATACTTTCAGATAGAAGAGCTTTGTTTCGGAATGTTTTTTTTTTTTATAATTGTCTTTTATTGGTTATGTATATAAAGTAAAGTAAAAAAAAAAACATAACGCAAATAAAGTTAAATTACTTACTTTATATTATTTATTAATAAATAATAAGTAGATATATTAAATATTATAATTAAATGCATAATTTTTATAATGCTAAAAAGTTTATTGTTTCTTATATATAAACTGTTATTATAAAAACTTTAAACTGATGCTATAATAGCTCTAGCTTTAACTTAAAAACTTTAGGTTAATGCTACAGCTGTTATGTATAAAGCTGTTATTCATAAACTTCTTCATGCGTAAATTATGTCCAGGGGAATTGTAAAATTGCAATCGCCAATACTTTTCCAAAAAATAATTATACAAATTGTTCAAGAGGAATTGTTGTGTTGCAATAAAATAAAATAACTATATGAAAAAGTTGCTAGTTAATAAATTTTTTTTTACTAATTTGTGGTTTGCAAACAGCATAACAAAATAACTTTTATTTTTTGCCATTCATTTACAAAATTTAAACACAAAAAGTATATAAGTACAAACAGGGGCACACAGAGGGTGGGGGATCTGGGTCGGTTTCTCCCTAATCTTAAGTAAACACTAAAAATACAGACCTTTATATATATAATTATTAATTATTATAAAATAGTAATGATAATAATAAAAATAGTATTTATAGTAATAAACATAAAAACTACAATAATAATAAAACAACAAAAACAATAACAATAATAATAGTAATGATAATAACAATAATAATAATAAAAATAATAAGTCACTTGTTTTTATACACGCAATAGCTAACTATACAAAGCAACATTTAACTAAATAAAAAAAACAAACCAATGCCAACAACGCACTAAAAGGTGTAACAATATGAACTATTCACTACAATGCCCAATAAACAATATTCAAGAATACAAACACAAAAAACAACAACAACAAAACAACAAACGATGTAAACAGCACAAAAAAATTACATTACAAAACAAACAACGTACAAAGATACAGGACAATTTAAACTAAGCACAAAAGTGCATTACAATACGAACAGTGTACTAAAATAATTCAAAAATTAAAGTTAAAAAAGTTCTTTTTCTTTCATTTTTCATTGGAAGTAAAATTTGTCGTTCTTTTTTATTATTTTTTATTTTCAAACATTTTTAAACTTTTAACTTTCTATTTAGTTTTTGTTCTTTTCTGTTCTTTTTTTTTCCTCAGTCATTTTATTTATTTATATTATTTGATCTTGTTTTTATATTGTTTGTTGCTGTTTTTTTATACGTCTCTTTTCTAATAACAATTTTTGATTTTCCTTATCTTTATTTTTCTTATTTTTTCTTTTTCGCCCTTAAAAACCACCTCTGCCATTTGCGGTGTTATTGCAAAGAGAACACAATAACATGCATGTTACATAGTGTATTGTGTTATAATTTTAATTACCATAACATGTTATAATGTTATTGTAATTTTAAATACAAATAACATGCATATTCCCAAAACACTTTATTTGGTTGGACTTCTTTATTATACTTCTTTGATTAAACTCATAAATGATTAAAATTTGATTTGCAGAACTGTATTTAGTTTTATTTAAGAAACATAAACAACAAACTTGAAAAATTTGAATTGAATTTTTTTTTTTTTGCCAAAAAGCTCATGTAAACCAAAACATAAAACATCCATACAGAATTTATATATTATGTAGGGTCAAGCCTGTTTTGCAGACCTGAATTGAGTATTTTTATTGTAATATTACAAATTTGTTATTGTAATATTATCAAAAATACCACCATAGAAACCATCAAAAGTTAACAAGCTTCTCCTACTCTTACACACTACTTTTATTAGAGTTTACATTTTCCTAAAGGTTGCCTATAACAACCAAAAATGGCATTATAAGTATATTAAAACAATTATGTAACCACATACTTTAATCATACTCTTTATTTGGTCAAAACAAATAAAGAGTTGTTATATATATAGAAAAAAAATTAAAAAATTTTACTTACTTGAACAACAACAACTTGGATTATAACATTGTTTGGAAGTTTATATGGACAATTATATTGTCTTGCTAGTTGCACAAGCAAGTGCAATATAGCAGGTAAATGTTTTGCATGAATAAGTTCTACATTCCAAGATTGTGATCCTATTAAAGGCAAAGCTAAAAGTTTGTTAATTTCATCAAGAAGTTGACTGAGTTTTTGCTTCTGCATATCCACAGCCTGTGTTACTTCTGTCAATGATCCAAGATCAATATTAGCCAATTTTTCTAAAAATATTTGAATTTGATAGTAAACAAAAAAATCTGTTAAATATTTATATTATAGCAAAAAATATCTGTTTGTCATAAAAACTAAATTTAAATTCAAAACACTAAATATTCTCAACAACATACCAACAAGCATTGCTAAAATTTGCCCATCATTTAAATCTTCTTCAAGACTCTTCACCACAATTCTTTCACTTGCCAAAACATCATTGATCCAATCAATTAATGTCTAGAATTAAAAAAAAAACCAATACTAATGCAATTGATTAAAGCTTACAACAAATAAAAAAAATCATTATTCTAATTACTAAAGCCAATAGTAAAGGCCATAATGTATTGGCATCGGGCAGGGAATAAAATGTCATACCTAATGCAAGGCTGGGTATAGACTTAGAATACAAGAACCTCCATATAACCTAGCAAAGGGAAATTTGAGTCATCTCAACTCAATCTTTAATGTGATAGTAAACTAGTGGTAAAATCACAGCTCAAAATAAACAGGTTTAAAGTTCAAAACTGCACTAAGCCTCTGGAAGTAATGCATTCAACCTCTATGCAGCAGCTTTCTTTTCTTTCTTTAACTTTGTATTTTCGAGTTTAGGATTGAGACAGAGTTGATGAATGGACGATGAATGAAAAATTGGAATTAACCCAAATGCAGATTGAGCAATATTTTTAATACATAATGCTAAGTCAGGAAAATAATGACTATCATTACTATATTTCTTAAAATACTACTATGACACTCAACGTTCATCCCCAGTCCTACACGACATGGATCTAATCAATTAAAAGCTGTAATAAATATAACACCATTGACCCAATTAATTAAAATTAACAACAGAGTAAAACATGGATCCAATCAATCCTATAAAATATATATATATATATATATATATATATATATATATATATATATATATATATATATATATATATATATATATATATATATACACTTACTAAAGCGTGTTTTGATAAGCATTTGCTCACTTTTTCTGCTTACTTTAAGCTATACCTTTTTTTCGAAAAAGAAGAAGAAAAAACGAAGAATTATGAATGAAACGATTGCTTCCCCATCCCAAACCCTCAGTCGATGTAGCAGCACTCGACTGCGAGTCAGGCTATTTGTCAGTCAATGTATGTACTGAAGCCCCCAGCAGCAGGCTATTTCAGTATGATTGTCAGATTGTGCTTACCTTAGTATGCAATACTATTTGTATATATATATATATATATATATATATATATATATATATATATATATATATATATATATATATATATATATATATATATATAAAATAGTGCACCATTTATGCATCTCATCTGTTAAACCATTTAACATAAGCGGTAAGCCACTTTTTATCATTTTTTTAAATATCTAAACAAGTCTAAAGATACCCTTTAAGTGATAAAAGCGATAAATTAATGTTATAGAAACCACTCATGAAGTTTGAATGACAATTATGTAAAAATTTGCATGACAATTACATTTGATATTTACAAATGAAATAAGTAAGAAAAAACAATGAAAACTTTATTTTTATTAACTTAACTTTTCCATCAAAAATGTTAAGCAAAAGAAAAGATATTATATGACACATAAAAAAAGAAATCATAAAAAATATAATAAAAAAAACTTTTATTATATTTTTTATGATATGCCATCGATATACTTTATTATATTATCAAGTATAAATATTTGATAATCTTAACTCTCTCAATATATTGTATGGAAAAATAATAATAGAGTTACATCCATAGAAGTTTTTCATTATTTATTACAATTATTTACACTTGAAAATATATTGCTCTAGCAAAGTCTTTGTTTATATTTATAAGTTTTATTTTGCAAAAAATAATAGTTAAGAAAAATAATATTTTATAATAGTTACATCAGCTTTATATATTTAACAGATTGCACAATATCAAAAATATGAAAACAGAAATTTACTAATATTTATATATATATATTATTATATATAATTATTATATATAATATAATAATTCAAAAAAAAAATGATTAAAAAAATTATTTAAATTTTAAACCTTTCCTTTTTTTTTTAAATTAAATTCTTTGTTATTATGTTATAACACTGTAACACTTTGTAATAACTTATAACACTGCACCAAAAATTTTGTCCTAAGGCAAATAAAAGTGCAACAGCATATTTTTAAATAAATAGTACTTGGATACTTGAATCTTTGTTTGTCAGTAAAAAAAAAAGCGCTTGTTTCGCTTCTTTTGAGACCCAACATGACATACATACGAAAAACTTTTTTTTCTTCTGTTTAGGGTCTCGTTGCAAGTTTCAGACTTAATGTGGCCCCCCTAAATCTCATTGAATTTTGAAAAAATTTAACAGTGTCTCGTGAGAACCAACAGATGGTTTTAAGAATAGATTTTGAAAGTATGGGGTGTTTGATGCACCCTAATATATACATATATATATATATATATATATATATATATATATATATATATATATATATATATATATATATATATATATATATATATATATATATATATATATATATATATATAAAAGTTACTTAAAAATATTTTTTAACAGGTCAAAACTTTTCACTTATAATTAAACCGTTTCTTATTAGACGTATTTTAGTAGTCATACATTTAAATTATTTTTTTTTAGTATTTTCACCTGAGAAAAAATATTTAAAAAAAAAACTATTATATCAGACTACTGACTATCATAGCGGAAGACTCAAATGAAAAATAAAAACTATTTCAGTCACCGCAGGACAACCGGGAAAAAAGCGGGGGTATACTCCTGTATGTATGTGTATGTGTATGTATGTATGTATGTATATGCAAATAATACTATAAAGGTATGTATGTATGTATGTTTGTATGTATGTATGTATGTATGTATGTATGTATGTATGTATGTATGTATGTATATATATATATATATATTTATATATATATATATATATATATATATATATATATATATATATATATATATATATATATATATATATATATATATATATATATATATATATATATATATATATATATATATATATGTAAATAATACTATTAAGGAATTTATATTTATAAAAATAATAATAATATAATATATTACTTCACATAGCTCTTTTACTTTTGGTTCATCAAGTGAACTTTTTTCGACCATAAATCTTTCTTGACCCTCATCTAAATAAATATTTTGAAATGTATTAACAAAAAAAAAAACAGAGCTGAGATCTTTTAGACTGATAATGTATAACAAAGCAATTTAACATATTTATTGTTAAATTAAATTTAAATTAACTTAAATTAACTACTTTTCTTGTCTCTAGATTGTTTATTAAACAAATAGTAACTTATACTAATATAATTTTATATTTAATCTAAAAATTAATACGATAAATATTTAATGCTTATATAATATTTATAATTATTAGCTGTCCGGATTATAAATTTATATTTATAATATTATAACTTATTTATTATAACATTTTAAATTTTTTAACAAAAACATCAGTTATAAAAATTATTTTATATTCATAGAGAGATATACTGTTACATTTAAAAAACAGCCAACAACTACCCTTAAAAACAATAATAAACAAAATATATATGCATAATATATGTTCTTCAGATATTTGTAATAGTGTAAAACTATTTACAACAAACAATATACATATATAGACATACAAAAAAGACAAGCTGTCTATTATATATCACAAGCTGTAAATAACATAATATCTACAACAAACAACATCTTTGATTGTTAAAAACATCTTAGATTGCTGAAAAAACATCATTAACATAATATATATATATATATATATATATATATATATATATATATATATATATATATATATATATATATATATATATATATATATATATATATATATAAACACACACACGAATAGTTATTAAATAAGTAAACAAGAAAAAAACTTTAATAATTAACCTAGGAAAAATGAATCTGGCGATATTTCTTGGTTAGGGGAACTTGGACCTTCTATAGCATTTCGACCTTGTTCTTCTAACTCAGCAACTTAAAAAAAATGTCATGTTGTAAATAAATATACATATTATAAATATATATACATATTATAAATATATATACATATTATATATACACATATTATATATATATATATATATATATATATATATATATATATACATACATATATATATATATATATATATATATATATATATATATATATATATATATATATATATATATATATATATATATATACATATATATATATATATAACAATAAACAACAAACAACAATAATAATAATATATATTCTGAAATAAAAGTTTACATTTTATGGTTGTTTACTAATAGTACGAGTACTAATCTAAGGTAAACACCAAATAAATAATAATAGCAATCATATAATAATAATAATGTAAATTAAATGAAGACGATTATAATATCAATAATACTATTAAATATAACAATGACAATAATAATGATTATATTAGTAATTATAATAACAACAACAATAATAATAACAATAGCAATAATAACAACAATAATAATATTAATAATAACAATAAAATAACAACAACAATAATAATAGCAATAATAATAATAATAGCAATGATAGCAATAAAATTAACAATAATAATAACAATAATAATATTAACAAATATCACATTTATATATTAAACAATTTTAATAAGTAATAATGACGGTAATAAAAATGTAAATAAAATGTAAGTAATATTAACATCACATAAAATAATAATACTAATAACAATAGAAATAATAATCTATTACAAGCCAAAGATTTTAATTAGAGTATTTTTCTATCAAAAAGTCAAAAAGACGGGTTTTAAATTGTGAAAAAGAGTTTAAGGATTGAAAATGAAAAGGTAAATTATTCCACTATTTTACGCATTGGTTTATAATAGAATTATCACCGTATTTTACCGAACAGCGATTTGGTATAGATAATTTAAAGTTACTCAAAGATCGAAGGTAATAACAAGAACTTTTTTTAGTGGTAAAAAAGTTGGAGAATGACGGAGGGAGGTTTACTTGTTTATGATTCCAGACAAATAGATAATTTAATTTAATAAATAAGATCACATAATTTGAGTATTTTTGATAGAAAGTAAAGGATGTCAGAGTTAGAATGATACTGTTGAAAGAATATTATTTTTAAAGCTTTGTTTTGTAGGTTACATAACCTTAAAAAAGCATTCAACTTGCATTGTCCCCAAACCTGAAAAGCATATCTAAGATGTGATCCAAAAATTGCATGGTATATACTAAGTAGAGTTTCATAATTGACATAGTGGCGAATTTTGGCTAGCATCCCATTTGATCTACACAATTTTACTGCTAAGTTTTTAAGATGAGAGGAAAAAGATAGATCTGAGTCAATTTGGATTCCAAGATATTTTAATGAAACTACGGGAAAGATTTTTTTGTCTACTTAGTCTAAAGTTTAGGTTTTTATACATTTTAGATTGATTTGATTTGAAAATAATGAGTTCAGTTTTGTTGGTATTAAGACGTTTGTTAGAGAGCAGCCATTGAAGAAGGTTAGATAAATCATGATTAATATGTTTGTTAATTTTTTTTTAATGATTTGTTAGTTATGAGTAAGTTGGTGTAGTCAGCAAAATGGTAAGCCGTTGAAAATTTTAGAGAGATTTTAAGATCATTTATAAAAATAAGGAAAAGCAATAGTCCTAATACAGAACCTTGGGGTACACCCGTGGAGCATTTTATTGGAAAAGATTTGGCATCATTGATGGAGACAAATTGGGATCTATTAAAAAGATATGATGAAAACCATTGAAGAGTATTACTTTGAACACCGTGTTCTAATTTACTTAAGAGGATGGAGTGGTCAACAGAATCAAAGGCTTTCTCTAAGTCAAGAAACACTCCATATGCAAAAAGTTTATAGTCAAGAACATTTCTATAGGTTTCAGTTATTTTAAAAAGTGCATGAGTTGTGGAGTGTTTGTTACAAAACCCATACTGATGTTTGTAAAGACATTGGTTTTGGTCAAGAAAACCAATTTCTTTACAAACATCAGTATGGGTTTTGTATGTTGTACATGGCTTTTTCAAATATTTTACTAATGTTAGATAGAAGAGAAATTGGTCGATAATTTCTGTGGTCCATTAGAGAAGCCTTTTTATGGATAGGAATAACTTTGGCTATTTTAAAAACATCTGGAAAAAGACCTTTATTAAAAGAATTATTCAATATGGTACAGAGAGGCTTGCAAATAACATGAGAAGTGAGTTTAAGAAGGTGTGTAGGGATACTAATAAATAACATGAGAAGCGAGTTTAAGAAGGTGTGTAGGGTTTAATAAAAAATAGTTTACAAAATGGTAAAAGTTTAAGACCAAATGGTCCTAAACTTTTACCATTTTGTAAACTATTTTTTATTAAATCAGACACCTCATTTTCAGTCACTGGATTAAGAAAGAAAGAATTAGAATTAGCATTTTTTAAATAGTCAGAAAAGATATTTTTAGAAGAAATCATTTTACTTTTAGGTGGGTGTTGAATTGTTTCATAGTATTTGTTTAAAATGTTAGCAACAGCCATACTGTCTGAGATAGTGTTACAATTAGACTTGAGAGTGTAATATTCTGGAAATGTAACAATATCAATTTCAGATCACATGGCACAAACTGTGCATAACCTGTTTATTTTCAGAACTAAGTTTTTTAAGTAAAGGATTAAAATAATCAGAAATAAATTCCTTTTGGTTCATTGAAGGATACCGGTATATGCAGCCAACAATGATATTTTTCTTAAAAGGATTGATGATTTTAATAAAGATAGATTCTAGGTATTTTGGGGCATATACTATAAGATCTCTTCTGACATTGTAGTTTAGATTGGATTGTAAGTATAGAAGAGTACCGCCTTTTTTAGCTTCAGTAGAGCATTGTTCAATGTTATAACCATTTACAGCAATGTCAGTTATATTGGGATCGTTAATGTACAATTTAGATTACGAAATTCCAAATACTGTTGGAAGAATGGTAAGTGAACTTATGACACTGGGAAGTTCATCAATATGAAAATGCAAAGAACCAATGTTTAGATGAAGGTACAATTCAGAATTTGATTTTAAAGTTTTATTGAGATCAAGAATATCAAAGTATTTGCAGTTGGAATAAGTATTAGAGATTTTAATTATATCCTTAAAAAAATTTTTGAATTGTAATGGACTTTCTAAAGAATTTAAGGTACTAGTTGATAGAGTCTGACATGATATAGTTAAAGAAAATTCTGTCCGAAAGTGTGCTAAATGGCATATTCTGAATTATGCAGTCACTACAATACCAGTTAGAAGAGTCTTTGACAAGAAGGTTATACGAAAATTTGTTGATTGAATTGCACTTAGCATAAACCCAAGAAGAACAACAATCAAATAAAATGCCTCTTGATGATTGATAGTGTTGCAAAAAAACGCGTTTTTTTGCTGTCGCGTTTTTTTGGTTTTTTTAGCGTTTTTTTGGTTTGGGTGTAGGTTTTTTTGGATTTTTTTTTAACTCTTATGGTATATTTGTTTACTTATTTTGTGTAAACAGAGTGTTTAGCCAAAGTGGTATAAAAATATTTATCTTTTTGATTACGAAAATGGCTAAACAGTTATTTATTTTTTTAAAAAATTTCAAGATTTTTACCTCAAAAAAATTATTCATTTTCCTTATATTAAACATGAAAATGATTACCTTTTTTTATTTTGCAAAGCAGTGTTTCATATAATAAATATATTTCTTTCATATAATAAAAATATTTATTTAATTAATTCTGATTCATTTCCATTAAATAATACATTTATTATTATTCAAAAAAAAATTATGGATTAATGAAAAATTTAATGAACATAAGTTGAAGAAGTGTGTGATACAAAATAAACTAAATTTTTAACAAGCCCCGATTCCCCCTCACACCCACACCAAAAATTCTCAGATCTGACTTATTTTGCGATGCAGTGTTACTTCATTCATATAATAAATTCTTAAAACAGTTCAATATTAAAAAAGATGCAATTCATGGCCTTTACTTATAAAAATTTACTTATTTGTCTTTACTTTTAAGAATTATTATTAAAAATTATTAAAAAAAAAAAAATGGTTTTTCTAATTAATGCTGCTTTTTCAAATTTTTTTTTTTTTTTGAATAATTTAACAATTGCTAAACTAAGACAATACTAAAAATATGGTAAATGGAAGTATTAAAACAAGTATTTAATAAATATCACCAAAAATAAATTTTAAAACCATTTCAGTGTTTAAAATGCAAAAAGAGTAGTTTTTAAGGCAAAAACGCAAAAAAACCAAAAAAAGCAAAAAACGAAGTCCTCGGTTTTTTTGGCCAAAAAAACAGTTTTTTTGGCAAAAAAAACAAGAACCAAAAAAACGACTTACATCTCTAATGATTGGCCACTGCTTTATTGCAGAACTTACAATAGTATTTAATTGCAATGTAAAAATATAAGTTAAAAACAAAGCAATAATATATAAAGTATGGCATAAATCAATAACAAATAAATATAGTATAATTTAAAAATAAAGAATATAATAATTAACTAGTAATCATAAAAAATATATAGTATTAAAAATTTTTAATAGTTAATTTAGTAATAATATAATAGCAGATAATATATGTATAATAAATATATAACATTAAAAGATACAACACCTAAAAAAAAAACATCTAACAAAAAAGACAATGTTTCTAACAAAAAAGACAATGTTGTTTTTTAAACAATTTTTTTTTTTGCAACTTTTTGAAAAAAATGTTTAAACAACTTAAAAATATTATATTAATTTCTTTTCAATAAATTAATTTCATCTTTCAATAATTTAAATAAAATCTGTTTATTTATTAAACAATCAAAAGAAGTAATTTGTAAATGCGTTTTGCGTAACTTTAAAAAAATGTTTGAAAATATAAGTTTTAAAGTAATTTATTTCAAACGCAGTCAAAATCGTAACAAAAAGTAATTTTAACTTTGAGTTTTTTAAATTTTATTCTAAAGCTTTTAATTTTTTTAATTTTCTTTACAATTAATTTTTATATATATACTAAAGTATTTATTTTGTAGAATTTAATTCCCTTTAGTCAAAATGTCCAATTACTTTGTAAATTAATCAGACAATTAGAGGTTTTAGCCGGACTATGTCCGATGTCCGACGGTTAAATTGAGCCCTGTATATATATATATATATATATATATATATATATATATATATATATATATATATATATATATATATATATATATATATATATATATATATATATATATATATAAATATATATATATATATAAATATATATATATATATATATATATAAATATATATATATATATATATATATATATATATATATATATATATATATATATATAGATATAGATATAGATATATATATATATATATATATATATATATATATATATATAAATATATATATAAATATATATTATATATATATATATATATATATATATATATATATATATATATATATATATATATATATATATATATAGATATATATATATATAGATATATATATATATATATATATATATATATATATATATATATATATATATATATATATATATATATATATATATATATATATAGATATATAGATATATAGATAGATATATATATAGATATATATATATATATATATATATATAGATATATAGATATATATATAGATATAGATATATAAATATTTATAAAGAGAGAGAGATATATATAGATATATTTATGAAGTAAAGCTACAGTTAAACAGGCTAAAATAATTTTATGTTGTGCATTGACATTGACCCTCATTCAATGTAGTAACACAAGTATTTTAGTCACCTTTCTTAAATCAGGGGTTAGTGTATGGTTTTCAATAAAATAACCTTTTTAGTTTGGGTCAGGGCTAGGCTATGGTTTTCAATAATACTCATTACGAGTAAAATTCCTTTTTTTTCGCACTTAATTAAGGTGGGTGCCTGAAGTATACGTCTGCCCATTTTAGTACTAGGTTGATATATGTGAGAGAAAAAAATCATAAGAAGCTTATAAGCCTTTTAACTCAGACTAGCTTGAATGTAACAAATCTAATTAAAGAAACTGTTATTCAACTTTATTTTTTAATATTTGCATTACAACGTTTATTTCAAGGTATGTTTTTATCAATGTGTATTTGTGTAAAAATAGATATATAAAACTACGAAGTTTTACAGAAATCATTACCTTCCTTTTTTGACTTTGCAGACCTTCTAGTCAATGTTCCTATTATTCCACTTTTTTTTTTATCTAATGTGCTTGTTCGCTGAGGAGTTGTTGGCGGCAAAAGTGTTGATGAACTAACTTTTCCTGATTGTGATGTTGGAGTGGTCGCCATTTTTTGTATTTATGTTTCTTGCTAAATAAAAAAATATATATATTTATAGCTGCGTAATTCGTCGTAACAGAAATCCACTCCCCATCCCCCCCCCTGTCCCTTCCCTATATATGTGAACTAGATATAAACGAATAATGTCACTTAAACTGATTAAATATGCTTGGTATAAAACGAATATTTTCAACCACAAGTGGTTAGACTTAATTCTTCTAGTTGCAAACTTTATATATAGCTTACTTTATATATATGGTTTACTGCTATATACAAAGCTCGCAACAAGAACAAGTAAGTTTATATGCATATAAATTAAATGTAAACTAAACATAGAACAAACAACTCTCTTAAACCGTTTAAACTAAATATGAAGCGAGAAACCATATCATAATGTATTTGATTTTTGTTCCGGCTGCAAATTTAAATAATCAAAAAATATATGTAATTTTGTCACAATTTTTGCTGGGTAAACTATAAATAAAAATAAACTATAAATAAAAATAAATTTATTTAATAGTAAGACGGATATACCGATCCTATTTTATTTTCTTAATTATCTGGTATAACAGTTAACATCTGTTCAAAATAGTATAACTAGTACACTAACATTTTTTCTAATGTAATCAATCACTTCTTTTCTCTCAAGCGTTTACGACTAAACATGTTCCACTAGTGACTAGACTATGTATATGTTCCACTAGTGACTAACTGCTGGGCCATGGCCGCCAAATTATGAGGATTTATTTAAAAGTGCCCTCCCTGACTCCCTTCCTCTTTAAGTATTTTCAATTAAAACGCACTGATGAAATAATTTGTAAAAGAATTAAAGTTATAATTTAGGCTATTCCAAGGCTTAATAATGCAAAAAATCATAAAGATAATTACAGATACAGCAACATAAACGGAGCTTTCCATATACCAGAGATTAGTGACTTTGGACCTTGTCAAGAAAAAAAAGAACAGTTCTGCAGTTAGAAGAGCTTGCCCAAATATGACAACAGTATTTCATGCAAGAACGAATAAGAGTTTTGTAGACGTAGAGAATGGAATCAGAAGTAAGAAATTGGCTAGCACGATAAAGAAAAGCAACTTTAGCAGATGCTAATTTTGCAATTGATTGTAAATATATTTTTAAATTTTAGTTTTAGGGATCTTTTTTTTTAGGTACTAATCGGTATTTTTTTTAAAAGAGTCACAGAGGCAATTCTATGAATAAAATGTATACAAGTACAGGGCCGACGATACGACGTAGTGGGGGGGAGGGGGAGGGGGGAACAATCGAAAATTCTTAAAAAAAGTCTTCTATATCAAGAATTTTCTATAAAAAATAAAAAAAAGGTCCTTTAAAAAAAAAGTAATGACGAAAAGTGGGTCGATGACTTCGGGGCTCCGGCCCTCCAAGTCGTCGGCCCTGATATACAGCATATATATATATATATATATATATATATATATATATATATATATATATATATATATATATATATATATATATATATATATATACGTTAATACCAAATTGAAACTTGCTTGATACAGATAAGAATTGCTTCATCAAAAATGTTTCACAAAATTCATCTGATAACTGCTCAAATAAAATAAAACAAAATATGCCCCATTGAAAAATATTTTCAAAGAAAATAACAAGACCTCCTCTATTCAAGTCATTAATGTAGGCACCACATTTTTGTGTATCAGTTTGATCATAGCCATTTTTTCTTTGAACATAACCACCAATATATATAATTGAAAGTAATGATTCTGCTTGAACTTTATCCTCGAGTTCTGGCAAGTTATCAAAAATTTCACACTCCTGCTCATTTAAACTTTGAATTACAGGAATTACCATAGGTACAATCATCAAAAAATCTATTTCTAACTGTAAAGAAAGTTTTTGCATTTTGGATTCTAACTTTTTTTATGACAGATTGAGCAGTAATAAAATAGGTTCCTCCAGAACCCTGGCAAAGCTTACTAAAATTTTTCTCTAATGGATCAGTTGCGAACCACCCCAGGATAACATAATCATTTCCACAATCCAAAAAATATCTTGCAATGTTAACTAATCCCCTACACACATGAGAAATACATTCAGAGGTATCTTTTGTAAGCTGCTTAATACGCTTTGCACCTGATTTTTTCCATTTTTTCAGCCATATCTGCCACATCTAATAAGAATAGCAGGTTTTTGTCTGTGTGTGATCTTATAACTCCACGGTACTCACCTTTATAACAAATACCTGCTCCAACACCTTTCACATTACAATTTTTCCAAAACTTCACAAATATAGAAATAAAATTGATGGTGCCAATAACTTCATCTTTTTTAATGGATGGATGATTTTTAAGAGCAGCAACCGTTTCATCACAGAAAACATGTAAGCAAGTCTCAACTTTCTGTCGCTCAATTGGTTTTGGAGAGATGGAAATTTCATTTAATTTGCTAAGTTTTAAATAATTGGCAGACTTCAACTCATAAAGATTTACTAAATTACTCCATTTTGCTACATGTTTGTTACCTTCAAACTCAAAAACTAGTTCTCCGCTTTTTTCAGTTAACCAATTATTACGAACACACTTCATGACATGAACATAATCAAACAACAAAAATGTGTTTTCATTATCATCGCACCAAGGTTTTTCTTCAACTTTATTCATCATTTTTAAAAACTTTTGGTTTACTCTATTTCCATCAGTAATAATTGACAACAGTTTTGCATTAGGTTGATTGTTAATTGTTTCTAATAATTGATTTGCATCGTTTAAAAAGAAAATCAGAATCTAAGTGGAACTAATTGGAATCATTTTTACTAAATACTCTGATCCACCAAATAAACATTTTACCATTATAGCCAACATGGTTTTGGCAAGGACACCAGGTTGATTGGCAGAATTTCCAAATAATACACCTCTAAGATAAGTTAATGTGGATTTAATATAAACTTCATCAATCAGCATTTACGTTGTGTATTTTCATTACTCATCATAACATTTTTCAAAAATTCCAGACTATCCTGTGATCCGACTTTTGAAGTGATTAAAAGTTCTAATACTGGGTAATTTATAGTCAATAGAAATTTTGCTGTACAGAGACCTGGATATAGCAAAATATTCAAATGCTCGAGTGATTATATCAGGAGAGTAAGTAAATTCACCAACTTTCTTTTGAGACATACAGTCCATATGTTCGAGTAATACATTTTTTTTATGACAAATATCTTTATTTTTTAAGTAACGTATGATTTCATCAAAAACTGACCAATACTTACAGCATGATGTCTTATTTTGATATTAAAATGGAAATACTGCAAGATGACCCAAGATGAAATGAAGTTAATGCTAAATCCCTATTAATGATAACTAAAAACTTTGGAATACCACATAGTATGTGACATACAAATTCTTTTGATTAAATGTAAACAACATCATTATTGTCATTTATGTTGTATACAATAAGACCATTACTACGCACGAGTCTTTCTTTTATGTTATCAAATCGAAAAAAAATCATGTTCCCTAAACTTTAGGCTAAAGCTATCTAGCTCATCTGATTTTGTATTTCTGGCGCTAATTTACATCTCTATTCCCCCCCTATTTTATTTTTGATTATGGTAGAGAATTTTATCCTGATTAAGAATTGTATATAAGCATGTTTCAAAATCAACAGAAAGTGTTCTAATTCGATGTTGAAGTTTAAAAAATTACACTAAAAAACTCCATTTTTTAAAAACGTTTTACATCAGAGTTTACATTTAGAAATCGATCATTTAGAAAATCTTTTTTTAATTATGCAACCCGGTTTTTATTGTTACCAAAATTAAATTATGTTTAAATTAAAATAAATTTTTTAAGAATATATATTTTTTTTAATTTTTCAAAAATTAATTTAAGATATTCCTTTTTAAATGTGCATAAATTGACTGACAAATGGATTGGCGCAATTAAATGTACATATGAAATGGATTGGCACAATTAAATGTACATGCATCAACTGAAAAAAAACATCGACTGACAAATAGGGATTTACGCAACTGTATGCACATACATCGACTGACAAACAGGGATTGGTGCGATTAAACGTACATGATTTGGGACAGGGTTAGGGTTTGGGGCAGAAAATGATAAGGAACGCATTTTTTAACAGTTTTGCTTTTAATTGTTGATAGAAACCAGGCTTTTTTAAAGTCATCTTTTCAAAGGATTTTAATTATAATCGAGTATGAATATTAGCGTTTTTTAGTGTAATTGTTTAAACTTCGACATCGAATTAGAGCACTTTCTGTTGATTTTCAGACCTGTGTTTTTATGAGATTCTTAATCAAGATGAAATTCTCTATCATAATCAAAAATAAAAATAGGGTGGTAGAGATGTAAATTAGCGCCGTATTTCTTATACTGGACGATGACAATTTTGTTGTTCTGGGTTTAGAAATAGGTAAACTAAGACAGCTAGCTGGTATGTTAGAAAAGACAGTTGGTGGTTCTGCAGGACTTTTTTTTCCACGATAAAATGTAAAAGATTTGCAATCTATAGGCCAATGAAGTCGGCACACCACAGTGTATTTATTTACAATCAGATTTTTTCTTGGGATAGCCTTTACCCACTTTTCTTTTTCGTATTCATCACAAGGAAATCGATAAGCGGACACCTTTATAGTTTATGAAGCATAACCACTACTACAGCATGGAACACAACATTTTCGAAGCATAATTGATAACTTTTTGTTTGATAAATGTGTTGCAATTTACAAAAAGATAAACCTCTTTACTGCTAATTTTTCTCGTTGCTCATTAATTAATGCAACAAAGTCGCTTAAAATTTGTGTTTAGACCAAACCTGGCTGATGATTGCCGTTAGGCATGAAATTTAAAGTTCCATTATAAAATTTTTTTCTTTTTCATTTTTAAATATATATATATATATATATATATATATATATATATATATATATATATATATATATGTACCAACGGTATGGCACTCACAAAACGACTAGTAACTACTAGTACAGAAATTGGTGTATATATAATAATACAGAGTATC